ACTGTGTTACCTGTTTTTGAAATAGGAGCAATCAGTGGAGCATACCAGTTGATTCCAACCTCACAGTGAGCGTCCAGGTAGATCAGCACCTAAAGACAAACGCACACAAACACCTGGATGTTTCTCTTTCACGTGATCCACAAAGACTTTACTTGTGCAACTGTGTGCAACTTGTGTGCCCCCCCCTTAATACTGCACCAGGTCAGAGGAACAATTGACAGCATTACTTCTCTTAGAATCTCATTCAGGAAACCAGTGGGTGATACCCAACCCTCATAAACATCCACACACTAGTAACCAGTAACAGTGACAGGTCCAGAGACGCAAGCAGCACTGAGACCACGGGTACCTGTCCTTTAGCAGCCTTCTTGGCTCCTATACTCCTGGCCTGGATCATCCTCTCTCTTCTCATTTCTGAAGAGTTTGACCGAGACCGTTCCATTGTTTGAATGTTAACTCTCAACACACACACACACACACACACACACACAAAAACACACACACACACACACACACACACACACACACACACACACACACACACACACACACACACACACACACCTACCTGTTCAGCCTCATAATGTGATAATAGCTGTCACAGAGTTCTGAGTTTATAAGACTGGCTCTCATCAAAAAGAAATTGTTTATTACGCAATTAAAGTCAGTTTACGGAATCAGAATGTGGAGTATCGTATGCTTGGCCCTTTGTGTGTGTTGGACAGAGTTTGGTACAAACAGGATTAGATATTTTATGCTGCCGTTTCTTTAGTTTATTATTAACCTACTGTTGGTGCATGCGGACATGCACATGGTCGTTTTTACACAGAACATCATCAGTAATGGCTGTATTTCCATTTCTGTGATCTCACCTTTACCACCTAAACCAGTGGTTCCCAACCTGTGGGCCGGGATATTGCAAGTGGGCCGTCAAATCATTTGCCAAACAGTAGGCTGCAATTTTGGTAAAAAGATTAAATGTTTTTAAATGTTTTAAAATGACATGATATTTAAAAACATTAAGATGTATAAAAACTTTCATTTTTTAAATTTATTTTCGTATTAAGGCTGTTTACTGTGATAAAACAATCATAGGAACCTTTATGTTGTCACTGTTGGATCATATTGTTTACTTGTTTGCTATCAAAATGGAGAGCTGGTTAGCAACAGAAAAAATTAAAAAGACAGAGAGACAGATGGTGAATCGACAAGTGATCTCTCCACTTTAAACAAAAAAGAAATGTTCCATTGTTATCATTAAAATAAAAAGTGCGCTGTGTATTATTTGTTATGTCGTTGGATGTGGATCGCCAACATCTTTGAGATTTTTAAGTGGGCCCTTAGCTGGAAAAGGTTGGGAACCACAGATCTAAACTACAGGATGCCTGTATGGCCTAATACAAGACATATACGATTATTATATATTATCCATATGTAACATAGTGATGATTTTCTTTTCTGTCCTGAAGCAGTGATAACAATTTATGAGTTGCGTGTACTTTACAGATGTCAACATGTTTGACTTATGAGCTCTGAAACCTGAAACATCATATTTCAGTCATCTGAGTGAGATGTTTCAAGAAAGTCTGCAGTGACTCACAGGGAGCCTGTCTACACTGATGAGCCACAATATCATGACAAGCCCATTTAATATGTTGTTGGTCCTTTCTGTGAACAGACCAAACCAGTCACATGACTCTGCAGTAGTCACAGGTATTTATCAGCTCCAGCTCTCAGCGTCAGTGATGTGAACACAACACCCGGGTGAACACGTTCATTTTTCTGCTGTAATGTCTTTCAGAGCACAAACACTGTAACACACCTGTCACCTGTCCAGCACGCTGCTGTTAAACCAGAGACACTACTGCTACACTGCGCTCAGGAATGAAAGAATGAGCCCAGAAATAATGGTTAAAAACTTCAAACCTCCAACTTCAGGATGAGACACTACAGATCTGTTGTACCAGGCTGCACGGCATCTCGCTGCCTATATGCTCTATGACTGCAGTTGTGCCAGTCCTCTCAGGCAAACTCGTCTGGCACTGGCACCTTACCTGCGTTTAAAAAAAACCTGCTTACACCTGCTGTGGTGTTCAGAGTATAAATTGTGAGGTGGAGCCACAGAAGATCTGACGTATTCCACCACATCCACCAATACCTTGTTATTGGTTCGTGGTCTGTTCCTCCTCAGACGTCTGAGGTCAGACGGCCCAGCCATCCGTCCATTACAACCTGACCCTCGTCAAAGTGGCTCAGGTCTTTTCTCCTGAGTCCAACACGTTTACTACGAGAACCAACTGTTAACTTACCGTCTTATACATCCCACAGCTTGACATGAGCAGTCGTTCTGAGACAGTCAACATTATTCTCAGCAGCCAGTTAGCTCTCTGCCCGACCTGATCCCGACTTGCTCTGACGTGATGCAAATGTAGGCAACAATAACTTCGGATAATAACTAACGGATCTTTGGAGCCAGGCGCCATGTGTGCTCTCCACTGACTGCAAACCCCTCAGGGCATGATGGGAAATGCCTTGAGTGTACTAGATCTAACAGCTGATTGGTTTAGATCAACGACGTGACATTTTATGAAAACGTTTCATTTTTCCCACAATCGTCCCACTGTTCAATATGAAAATTACTGATTTAATTTAATTTAAGCAACACAAAACCTTTTGATAAGTGGGTGTGAGGTTTGTTAAAATAACATCTAATCATCATAGTCCAATACAGACAAGGTGTGTGTGTGTGTGTGTGTGTGTGTGTGTGTGTGTGTGTGTGTGTGTGTGTGTGTGTGTGATGTTGTGTGTCGATGTGTGTGTGTGTGTGTGTGTGTGTAGGACAGTATGCACAGTACCACTGATAGACTATATAGATGGTAATGAGTACAGTATGGAGCCCCAGCAAGGTGGAGATGAGGACGGCCTGGCTAGAGGAGCATGGGATTGGAGCCTGCTCTGGAAGAGAGTCCCACTTAGCCAGAGAGAGAAGGCCAAGAGAAAGTACACCACCCAGCCCTACCGGTACTCACTCCACAGCCAGCATGCTAACACTCATCCCTGTTCTGTTTGTGTCTCTGTCTCCAATCCCTTCATCCCACCTGTCCTATTCTCCGCTGCTGTCTCGCTCTGTGTCGGTGTCTGACACTCCACCCCATGTCTTTGTGTTTTTACTGGCACTGCTGTCCATATTGTCCTGTTTTTTCCCCCTTCATGTACACCACCCCTACACCTCTTCCCCCCATGTATCTTGTATGCATGGCCCCACCCCCATTCCGTCAGAACGGTGTGTACGGTGCCTCTGATCGACTCCATCCATGGCCAGAAGTTCACCATCGAGCCCCAGGGTGGAGGAGACCAGGACGGCTTTGCTAGAGGAGCGTGGGACTGGAGCATGCTCTGGAAGAGAGTTCCTCTGGGTGACAGAGAAAAAGCACTCAGAAAAACTCATACTGAGCCATATAGGTACAGAACATGATGCCTCCTGACTAAACCTGTCACTGTCAACACAGAGGACAAACATATCCCAGCTAATCTGGAACAATGCTAACGATATGTACATACATTAGATTAAGACTACTGCAGCAACTAACTAGTGAAGAAATGCTAATCCCAGAAATATGTGGACCGGGGTGTATGAGTACCATCAGCTGATATTAAACACAAATTTAGGATGTTTAAATTAGGAAAACTAGCCTAACTCTTACTGCATATCATAACTAACCAACTAAACCAAACCTACCTCCCTCCGAGGGAATATCTGACTCCTGTCCTGTCCATTGGCTGCTGCTGTGCTCTAATGTCTCTACTACTGGGAGTTGATTGGTGTTTCACCACAGTGTGCTGTGGCCCTGTCTCTTTGTGTAGTCTTCTACTCTCAGTCTGACTCTGCTGTTTGTGGTGTAACTGCAGTAATTAAGGCCAATTTCCTATTTGTTTTGGGGAGGGAGGGTCTGTGAAGGTATTTTCTTTTTAACCCAGGGACTGACAACCTTACAACACTGCCTTCAGTGAGCAATGATTGAGTCTTGATCTAAAGGCTGTGGGTTTGTCTTGGGAAATTTGGTCAGGTCTACAGGGGAGCTTCTGGTGTGAATCGGGTTCGGACTGGGGCACCATCACCCCCACCTCCCCCCAATCACTTCTTCATCCATCGTGCCTTGCTGTCAGTCTTTTTTTCCCCTCAGTTTTGCTTTCATTACTGTCTCATTTTGCCTGTCTCTGTGTCAGTCTGCTCTTGTCTCTTCTGTGTTCTCATTGTTATTAATACTGACTGAGGGACTGACTGTGTAGTAGCTTGAAACGGAGAAACCTTTGGAGTGAAGAGTAATGTTACAGTGATGCACCTGTGTGAGCATGTGTCTACATGTCTGTTTCTGGGTGTGCGTGTCTGTCTTTGTACCTAGGTCTCCAGCCATGGCAGGTGGTCTCTTTGCCATAGAGAGAGAATTCTTCTTTGAGCTGGGTCTGTATGACCCCGGACTGCAGATATGGGGAGGAGAGAATTTTGAAATCTCATACAAGGTAGACATGGAATAGTCCAGTTTATACAGGCTGAGGCTGAGAGATCATTTAAAAGGCTTTAGAACGATATTCACTCTCTCTTTGTCTCTCTCTCTCTCTCTCTGTCTCTGTCTCTGTCTCTCTCTCTCTGTCTCTCTCTCTCTCTCTGTCTCTCTCTCTCTCTCTGTGTAGATCTGGCAGTGTGGCGGCCAACTTCTCTTCGTACCGTGTTCTCGTGTCGGCCATATTTACAGACTTCAGGGATGGCAAGGGAACCCTCCACCTGCACATGTTGGATCCTCACCCACTCTGAAGGTGTAGCACACTAATCAGATGTATAGTCATATTTTACATGTTTACATTCTTCCAACACTTAAAGTTAGCTATAAAAACGTGAGTGTTTGTGTGTGTACAGAACTATGTTCGTGTGGTGGAGGTATGGTGGGATGAATATAAGGACTACTTCTACGCCAGTCGCCCTGAAACTCTCACTCTGGCCTACGGAGACATCAGTGAGCTCAAACGCTTCAGGTACAACACACATATAACAAAATAATGCACACTTTTATTTCTAATAGATGCTCAAACTTTTTATTTGTTCGTCTCACTTAATCAATCAAATGCCCACCTAAAGACTCTGCACACTGACTTTTAGTCTGCGTACAGTTTAGGACCAATTACAATATTGCGTGAAATGACAGAATACACTAGCTTATTGCTGCTGCTGCACCAATGCTTGTTTACTGTTGCTACGTGTTCACAACATGGGAGTGGTACAGACCGATGACATTGTGTTGATGACATGTCTCTATTTGCGCCTGTTTTTCTTCCATTCACGTTGTAGTGCTTTGATTCACCACAAAATCTCTGCACAAGTGGACGTCACACAAACTGACACAGACTGCAACCGTCACACTCTGACATAGACTGAACTTAGAAAATTCACGTGAATGCAACAATTTTCTCAGTCGGGAACTTTTTTTTTGATTATTCCAACATTACATGAATGCAGGTCAGAGACGTCTCTGTTCTTGACCACAGACTGTAAATAAAGATAGACCTGTGACGTCACCCACAGGTTTCTGAAGCTTAAAGTGAGCTGCTCCACCTTCATCTTGGCAGTGCTTGACTCCTCCTCTAACTCCCGGCTAATCCATAAATGGGCAAGGAGGAGGAGCATGTATGGACTGTGGGCATGCTGGTTTAATAACAGTGGCACGCATACATTCCTTTCAGCATCATTAGCACAGCTTGGCGTCTTGCTTAAAGGCTAACCCAAGGTGAATTCATTTGCTGGCTAATTAGCAAGTTGACAACCTAAGCTAACAATCCAGGTAGTGAATACAGACACAAATACCTGCTAATCAGTGGTAACATAAAAATTAAATCATACTAGAATTTCACTCACTAGCCACCTGTCAGTCAAAGAGGCCACGCCCTCAATTCTCCATAACTTTAGTCTTTAATAAAAATGTAAACATGTGAGTTATATAAGCAGTTGTCATGACGGAGGAAATTAGCGTGAGACCAAAACAGTTTTTGTATCAGGCTGTAAACATGTTTATTTCTGTTGTAAAGTTGGCCATTTTAACATGGTAGTCTATGGGGATTGACTCACTGTTGGAGCCAGCTAACCCTAGTGGTCATTAGATCAACTGCAGGAACTGAGGAATTGGTTCTTCAGTGTTGATGCTTCATGTTTCAGCCCCAGATGTTGATGCTTCTTTTAACTTGATGAATGGCACAGCGCTGCAACACTTGTCTAATTAAAGGCATGTGTTTATAAGCTGTCTGTTACTTTACAATAGTAGTAAGTGCAAGTTTTTGTCATGTGTAACATTACTGTAGCAGAAAGCAGCTTGATCATGGTGACAGCACAACAGACATTAACTAAGGTGAGTTTGCTGGCTGGTCTTGTTTTTTGTTTTTTTTACACCATCAAACTGCAGTCCCTCACCTACAGCATTCAGAACTGAACTGAAGTGTGACACTCACTGCTGTGACTGAGAGGGATGAGATGAAAAAAAAAAAATCTAAAATCACTACAACACAAGTGATATACACTGTGCCCTGTAAAGGCTCTTCAAAGGGTTGGGTTAGTGTCAAAGGACTTTTTATTTTTAGAAGTGGTTATGAAATGAATAAATGATTATGTCACAGTCAAAGTGTGGTGGTTGTGAGTGAACTGCTGTTTGTCGTCTGGACTTGTTGTCAGGGAGGAACATCGATGCAAGAGCTTCAAATGGTTCATGGAGGAAATAGCGTACGACATCCCCCTGCACTACCCTCTGCCTCCGAAAAATGTGGAGTGGGGGGAGGTAGGTGCACACACACACACACACATGCACACACACACAGCTTGTTTTAACCATGTAATGAAATATCCTCTGACAGCAGATTGTGTGTGTGTGTGTCCTGTCTGTGTGTGTAGATTCGCGGCTTTGAGACAAGTTACTGTATTGACAGCATGGGACACACCAATGGAGGCAATGTGGAAATAGGACCGTGCCACAGGATGGGGGGCAACCAGGTAAAGGAACACTTCAGTCTCCTTTAGCACAGCCCAGTCCAGATGAGACTGATCTGGATCTGGTTTGGTTTGATCTTTGATGAGTTTGTCGGACAGAGAATTGCAGAAGCAGTATGTGGCCTTTCTGAGCTACTTGAGATGAGTGGACTCCATGTCTTCCAGTGAAGGAGAGTTTTTATTCCTCTGCCCGGTGACAGAGCAGCAGCAGCCATATTGTTTTCATGTTGTCCGTCTATCCCATTCTTGTGGACACGATATCTCAGTAACACCTTGAACACCTTCTTCAAGTTTGGCACAAACATTCCATTGGACTCAAGGATGAACTGATTCGATTTTGGTGGTCAAAGGTCATGGTGACCTCAGAAAACACTTTTTAGTATACAGAAATGAGGACAAAATTTCACACAAATGTTTAGTATTTTATATGAATCTGGATAAACAGGGATGTAACCTGGAACTAGTCTGAGTGGTGGAGGGATACATCCACAAGGAGTTGATTCTAGTTCTAAATTGGCCGTGCTCCATCAGAGATCAGCTTTACCACTATTCACCATGGCAACGCATAAGTAAAGAGTAGCCAGAAAGCTTACTGTGACATTAATGCATATTTATCTTTAAAAACAGCAGCAGCACTGAACAAGTCAATGAGTTATTGACACTATTAGATTTTATTCAGTGTTTTCCACTTGAGTTTCCTTAATGAGTTATGAATCGGGAATCCTTCTTATGTTTTTTAATTTACTTACAGACCATTAATTGTAGCCTCATTCTATCTGAGCCAGTGATAGTAATTCATCATTATTTACTGTTGAAAAGGTGTTTAAGTTAAACTCATTTTGGATGTCAATCTTACATAAACATTTGCTGCTTAACAATCAGTGTTAAATATAACAAGTGAAGACTTAGGCAGCTCGACTTTTAAACTGCCTTTAGTCCAGTTTTAAAGTCTTTTCAGCTGCACACATGTTCAATCAATGCACACTAAGTAATTGAGTGCAGATGTTAAAGTGATATCTAATATCAACTCTCTGGATCAAAGAGTTGTACCTCAGGGCATCTAGTACTTTACCCTGCAATCTGATCCCGTGTGTGTGTGTGTGTGTGTGTGTGTGTGTGTGTGTGTGTGTGTGTGTGTGTGTGTGTGTGTGTGTGTGTGTGTGTGTGTGTGTGTGTGTGTGTGTAGTTTGTTCCGTATCAATGAAGCCAACCAGTTGATGCAGTACGACCAGTGCCTGACCAGAGGAGTTGATAATTCAGCTGTCATTATCACACACTGTGACCAGAACCAGCACACTGAGTGGAAGTACTTCAAGGTGACACACACACACCAACACACACACAGAAGTGTTTATTAACAGTGGAAAGTGTTGGATTAACCAAGAAGCCTGTTTCTCTCTCTGTCCATCCAGGATCTCCATCGGTTCACTCATGTGCAAACAGGTAAATATCTGCACCACAGAAAATACTTTTCATATATTCATCATCATCATCATCAGAAGGATTAGGACATTCAGTGACAGCCTGCACACAGCCTGAGAGTGACTACCCTGTCAGTGTGGCCTGTAGCTCCACGAGAGGAGAAAACACTGACATGTGATCAGGTGAAGGAGATGCTGAACACACTCAGGTTTGGTCATTGTACTCTGAGCAGCCTGTGATGTGGAGTTAGGTTCTGCTTCACAGCCTGTGTGCAGCTGCGCCTTAAACTAGGTCATTATTTGCATGTGTCAGTATCAGTGTCAAATATACGTTTGATGACATTTAGTATCATTTACTGCTGTTATGATGATCTGTATTTTTATATTGGACTACTAATTTAATTTTCTGTGATTCACAATTTGCTGTTCTATTTCGTGTGTGTGTGTGTGTGTGTGTGTGTGTGTGTGTGTGTGTGTGTGTGTGTGAGAGAGAGAGAGAGAGAGAAAGAGTGAGAGATTGTTTTTATGCCTCCGTGCCTGTGACACCCAGAACTGGAGGCATATTGTTTTCAGGTTGTCCATCTGTCCCATTCTCGCGGACACGATCCATCCAAACAGTTAAGATAAGATCTGCGAGTTAGGAAGTTTCTGTGATACAGCTTCTGCGATCCACAAGGATTAATCGTGTTGTGTAACAGACACTAGTAGTAACGCCAGGACCACACTGTCTGTATTGTGTGAGCGTGGCGGCTGACATCACTGAGCTGCTGTGGAGAAGCTGGCATGTGTGTGTTCATGCTGGCTGCCTCTCTGCTGCAGCAGATGACTGAATGTTGGATTTCTTTTCATTATTAGTTCATTTCTGGTTTATTTTTTAAAGAAAATGTCACTAAAACATCTGTCTCCACATGGTTAAAAAAATATTTATATTTTTTTATGTCTGTATCATATTCAGAGTCAGCCTAGAGAGAAACTATGGTGGAAGGTGTCAGTTTTGTGTTGTTGCTGCTATGATGTCACTATAACATCACCAGGAGACATGTCACATATGAAAAATAAGCAAGACACTGAATCTCTAGATCAGTGGTCGGCACCTGGCGTCCCGCGGGCCAAATCTGGTTCCACAGATTATTATGATTTTTTTACAGTCACCCACAGAATCCCTTCCTCCTTAGCGTTTTTGCCTAGAAAAATAAGACCGCAAGAAAGCCCCCATCCCCACCCCCACCCCCCACCCCCCAAATGAAAACCAAGACATTTCGCAGATGCAACACAGTGTGTTCTGACCTAATGTTCATCTGTATTCTCCAAATAGGGAAATGTCTGGACCGCTCTGACCTGCTGCACAAAGTGTTCATATCAGACTGTGACACCAGTAAAACCACTCAGAAATGGGAGATGAACAACATTGTGGCCGTATGAAGACTAGAGGAGCAGCAGGAGCTGGGAGAGCAACACAGTGACTGTATGAAGACATACACACTGATTAACACGCCAAGAATCACATCCATACTATAAGTTTACAGGTCTGTCGAGCTGACACTGTCCTTTTGAAGAAAAACTGTTGTCATGAGCCAGTCATTGTCAGAGAGTCTACTATTCACAGCTTCAACCCAAAACTGCTGCCACCAGCCAAAATATGCCTCAGTCAAACTTTAGACCACATGTTCATCCATGATACAGACACACAGATACTCTAGGTGGCAGAAGAGCTGGTGATGTGGAGGCTGAAGCTGCTGGTTCACTGAACTGAAAACATGTTGGGCTCTGTCTCTGTCTCGGTCCTTCATGATGCTCGTGTTTACACTATGTCTCTATCTGTTCTTTTGGGCTCTCAGGTCTTTTCTAAACCACTCGATGATTTATGAAATTAATCATATTAATTCTAACTATTGAACAGTCTTGCTCTTATTAGACTTTTTCAATCAACAGCTAGCCAAACTGATTAGCTCACTTACCAAAGAGTCTTTTTTTTTTTTTTTTTGGTGGAAGATTCAATCACATCATCAGTGTGTTTAACCAGGTGTTTGTACATACACATCATCCTTGGCATCATCCTTGCTTTTGTATGAAAGGCAGGTTTGGATGGCTTTCAAGCTGGAACAATATGTCAAACAGGATGTCAGAAACAAAGCATTTAATAGAAATATCAAAGGAGGAAACTCAGGTGAGCAGAATCTGTTCAATAGACTGGGAAATTAGTAATCAGCTCCACATTTTTAAAAGTTTTGAAACAAAAATTTGATTGTGTTGACTTGGTGGCATCATGCTGATGTGTGAAGGAGGATATAAACAATCAACATGTGGAAGTGAAAAACTGTCCTGTTTCATCAGCTGCTTCTAAAAGAGCCAACAGGCTGGCATCAGCATGTCGATGAGACCACATCAGCCTTCCCCTGTGGAGAGAGAGCTAATTAAAGCTCCTGTAGGCAAACGCTGAACAGGCCAAACAAGATTCTGACATTGAATTGTATTTGTTTTTTTCTTCACATTTGCACTCCAGAGTCTGTGAACAGCATTTTTAGCATCCCCTGTGGAAGAGGCACGTCTAGGTCGAAGCTAACACAGTAATCTGACAGGTTAATGAATAAGAAGCGCATCAAAAGAAAACTACATAATGAAAACAGAGCAGCAGACGCTGGTTTACTCCTACATGAAGCTTCACAGAGCACTCCTTTCTCTAAAACACCTGAAGGTCCCTCCCCACATGAAAACCAGCAGTGGTCCATCCCTCAGAGAATATGCTTTCAAATCCACACTAGTAAAACTTGAGTAAAAGTAACCCGCACACTGTATTTATTTAGTTAACTTTGATTGGCCATTTGCTTCTGTTGATTTCTGTTGGCTTGAATGAATTTTCATCAGCTCCTACAGACACTGAGATGCTTTAGAGGAGAGCACATCAATATGATGGACTGAGCACTTCTGACCTGCCTGCCTTCCTCACAGTCTTGATGACTAATTTAGTAGCTGACCAGTTGACTGTGACTTAGTAACTGCCTGTCTGAAAAGGAAAAAATAAAAATAAAACACACACACAGGGTTTTTGGGTTGGGGAATGATGCCAGTGAGCAATGCTTATGGTGGGGAATACAACAAAGGAAAAAAAAATGTGACTCCTTTTTTTGTTTGTTTTTGCAAGGGAAAGAGGGTTTTGGTGTACAGATCATCATGTATGCAATGTTTTGTACAATGTAAATAGATTTCTTTCTAAAGACGATCGTGATGCATTTTGTGAAGGGCCTTGAATGATGTTGTAAATATCTAACTTATAGCAGAGATTTAATAATATGGGCTAAACATTGGGTGACTGAGAAAATAAAAGACCTGATTTTTACTACAACCACTGGGTTGTGTTTTTTTATTGTGATTTCAAGCAAATTAGTGACTTCTCCTTGAGCTGATGCTGGAGTTGGGTCATGTTGGACCCAGAAAACTTAAAGGCTCTGTAAATGAGATTTTAAACTTTAATACAGCAGCAAAAATCTGTTTTCTATGTATAGTGGAGTAATGGCATCCTGAACAGAGAAGAAGCCACACCCCCTCTGTGTGTGATGTAATCTGAGTTTCTCTGCTCTTTGTTTTGGTAACTGGTCCAGCAGTGTGTGCATGTTAGTTCATGTGAGTCCCTCCCTGTGAAACCATTGGCCCTCCCCTCAGGCTACACCCACAGGTGATGTCACAGTTCAGTGTGCAGTGTACAGGTGAAAGCGACCTTCCAGAATTTCCTCCACTGAGGAAGAAAAACCATGTTTCTGTCTAGAAAGGCCTCAGACAAAGACAGAGATCGGACCTGAGTCGAGGTGGACTGGACATGGGGTAAGGTGACCAGATTTCTCAAATGGAAAAAGGGGACATTTCCAGTTCAGTGGTCAATATATCATTAAAATATCCAATGTTTTTATCTATTAAATAAAAAAGGCGGACAGGTCAGTTTTCATGTATTTTGACAGTGGTAACTGTTGTACTACTGTGATAAACTATGGTGAGGAACAACTGATAAAATGACATCTGGGAAGTCCAATGGTCTGTTTATTCCTCAATTATTTATGTTCCTTAAGTTCATAAAGGTCCACCAATTCAAAAAATCAAAAGAATTTTGCTTAAACATATTTTTGTGAATATTCTCATGTGAAGTCCATTATGGACTGTTGGGCAACACGTTTCGGCTGGGGGGCTTTTTGTATATTATTTTTCATTAGTTTACTGCCTAGTTATGAACTCCTAACCAATCTGTGAGCCAACTAATCTCTTCTCTGCCTAGTGATGACAAAAAAAGAAAAGAAAAAAAACTGATTGGACAACTATATTTTGATTGTTTTAGCTTATTTTCTGAGTCTGCTATAGCTAGCAGCCAGCCCCCTCTGTTTGCCAAAACAAGTGCAATGCTAGATGTCTGTTTTTGATTCACAGTTATAAACTGGGACAATTCTGGGGACAGGCCACCAAAAATGAGGACAGTCCCCGGAAAAGGGGAACGTCTGGTCACCCTAACATGGGGGCTACTGGCTCAAATCCTGTTCGGCTGGTGGACCGTCAAAACATCCATTAAGTTTTAAAAGCGTTGATCAGCTCCGTCAGCATCATTCGTGCAACCCATCCCAGTGGATCAGTCCAAGGCTGAATTTCCTGCCCAGTCCGACCAGTCCGACTCCATTGCTGTGGAGTATATCACAGCTATGCTAGTGTGGGCTAATGGTTGTGACTGGATTGTAGTTTGTTGGTTCTGGTGTAGTAGTAGTAGTAGTAGTTTTTTCTTCAGTCGTCCCACATTTAATATAAACAATATATGTTCTATGTATTAAATAAGGACTGATCAGGCTCAGGCAAAGAAAAATGCTGATATATGGCTGCCTACATTCTTATTAATTAAGATACCCACCAAAAAGAAAAGAAAATGATTCACTCTTGTAACCTTCAAAAATATCTCTATAAACCAGTCTTTTAAGAACCAAAATGATATTTCACATTTTTTTTTATTGATATTTGTATTGTTCCATAAATTAAGAAAAAGGAAATCATTCACATTAATTCACACAGTGTATATATATATATATGTATAATACATTATAAACAAGTTTGCAATGTGTTAACACACAAAGCCAATATTAAATCAACATAAAAAATGCCAAAACAGACAACAAATATTATATGTAATGTATATACATGGTGTGTGTGTCGTTTATAGTTAGAAGTTGTTTAAATTGATTTCATTTTCTTTTAACAAAATCAAATTTAACTTTATGTTTTTCTTTACAGTCTCACTATATAGTAAACTTCATAAATAATGTTTATTATCATGATGCTTTGAGTGGGTAAATGCTGTTTTCATGTGTTCAGCCTCCACTACAGGTAGTCAATAATAAATCTCTCTAATTCATTTTGCCTTTATGCCTTTTGCCAGTGAATAACAGTTATTCAACAGTTATTCACTGTTATTCAAGATAACTTCATCCAGGATTCATCAGTCCTTAAACTGCTTATGCCTCGAAAATGTCCGAGTTGTTGCTCCGTACTGATGATGTGTTCACGTGAATTTTCCCAGATGGAAACTAATTTTTCCGACCCCACATGAACGCACGTTTACGTCATCGTGAATCCACTCTGTGTGATTGGTTGAACTGACCGTTTATACGGGTGTCGTACTCTTTCCCCATTGGTCGGCGACAGCAAATACAAATGACGCAACAGGGAAGGTAAAGTTCGCTGGTCTTGTCATCATCTGTGTTCCGGTGTAACGAGAAGCAACGAGAGAAGTCTCCACTGTAGTACTATAGCGGGCACACACGGCGGGGAAATGAAGCGGTTCATTACCGTTGTGTTGTCGTTTCTGATGGTGGGACACGTCCAGGCTTGGGATGACGGTAAGTTCTGCTTCACTGTGTTTTAACGTTGTCAGGGTTAGGTTACAGCCAACCACCATGTTCAGAAAATGTAACAAACACCTCCACTCCGCTCGCAGCCCATACCGGAAACTAAATTAAATGAGTTTATAGTCCGCGGGGTTAGTAAACTTTAATTAACGGCTTTATTAATGGTGAATAAGTCTTTTGAGATATTAATAAGAACAACTGCTGGGTTGCCAGGTTGTGGAAAACCATCCTCCAGCAATCTTTTTACACCTTTCCAACTGTTTGAGCATTGATCTGGGAAATGGCTGCAGGACACCTGATTATGTTATATTATTTTACAACAGCAGACCTGTTGAGTGTCGCTTACCCAGCTTGTTCCTCTCCTCCCCACTACAGGCAGTGTGCTGCTGCGGGATGTCCAGGTGCTGACACTGTATAAGGGTCGCTACACCACAGCGGGGCGCTCCAGCCCCGTCCTTCAGCTCCAGTGTGTTGGAGGGTCAGCAGGCTGCCAGGCCTTCATCCCAGAGGTGGTCCAGTGTCAGAACAAAGGTTGGGATGGAGTGGATGTACAGGTGAGGACTGAGAGGTGAGGTGGATGGAGTATAACTGACTCAATTTTTAGGATGCTCTGAGATCACTGTACAACATGCCGCTCAGCACAAAGACTGGTCACAACTCAGTTTTTGTTGTTAATATAAGAACACAAATGTTTGCCACCACAGTTGCATAGAATGTTCTAAATTTTCCAATATCAATATTGGTCTGAGCCTAAGAGATTCAGTGTTGACTGGGCCTTATTCCAACAAACACCAGTGAGGATGCCCGCTGGTGGGGGTCATTACATGCACCATGGCAGCTTCTTGGTGCTGCTTCTTCACACTCTCCTTCCTGTCCCAATGCCAGGAGGTGAGACTGACTGTAAACTAAGTAATGTCCATAACAGAACTCATGTCAGTCTGTGATTTATTTGGAAACAAGAAGTCAGGGTGTGTGTGTGTGATTGTGAATGATGTGGTCTGTGGCTATAACCCCTCCTCTGCTGTTCACAGTGGGAGTGTAAGACTGATATGGACAATGCGTACCAGTTTGGAAGGCTGGAGGTGAGCTGTGAGGGCTACAGCCACCCTGCTGATGCCTACATACTGAAGGGCTCCTGTGGGCTAGAATACTCACTGGAACTGACTGAAGAGGGCCGGAGGAGGACACAAGGCAGCTCGGGCTCCCACAGTGGATTCAAGGGATTTGGAGGTCAGAGTATAGAGACATGAAGTTGGTGTGGTTTAATTTTCACACACGGACTTGATATTGAGGAAATTTTGTTTTCTGTTTGTCTGTCTCAGATCTTGGGGGCTTCGCCTCCAGTTTCTTCAGCGCTTTTTCCGGAAACAAGTATCAGCAGCAGAGCCATCAAAGCTCATACCCCTCGGGCAGCGAGAACTCAGGTGGCCTGCTGGTGGTTGCTGTGCTTCTGCTCTTAGCCTATGGTGTCTACAAGCTGTTCCTCGTTGGGAACACAGCCCAGTGGGAGCAGGACGGAGGACAGCCTGGGTACCCCAGAGATAATCACTACGGCTCCACTGCAGGACCACCACCCCCGGGATTCAAACCTGACTTCACAGGTAGCTGATGCAGAAGGGTAGAGCAACAGTAGATGGTCTGGTCCTCCTGTTGGGGAGGTGGGTGGGTGAGTTGGGGTATCTCTTCTCTGGTACAAACAGCTGAATAAGCATCCAGCTTGTAGTGCTGGAGTGTGAAATAAGATTACAGCTGCCTCTCTGAAATCTGCAACGTATTCTTGTCTGCTCAGGCTATCCTGGTGCCAACCCAGGCTACGGTTTCCGTAGTGACTACACTCATGGACAACAGTACCCAGGAGGCCAAGCTGCTCCCGGCACAGGTGGAAACTTCTGGACTGGCATGGGGACAGGTGGAGTGCTGGGGTATCTGTTTGGCCGTCAAAGGTTAGTTAAGAGATGAGAGAACATCATTCCTCCTCTGCTTAAATCAGAGCCTTCAGGTTGTTTGTGTGATTGTTGTGCAGAAACCAGCCCTATAACTACAACCACTCCAGTTACACCAACAGCAGACATCCTCCTGCTGCAGACTCCTCCTCCTCCTCTGGGACACGCACTGCTTCAGGTATGTTGGCGAACAGAGCCACACACACACAAACGTCTGACACCTTTACCACCTCTGATATCAACAGTATATTGGATGAAAGGATTAATCCTGATACTGTATATCTAGTTGGAGTAAAAGAAACCTGTGATGATTTTTACTGTCATTACCTGGGTGACAGAGAGTATGAACTGTGAGACCACTGAAATGCTGTTTCTGACAATTATTGATGAGAACAGTCACATGGTCACTGTTGGTGTGAGAAGTCAGTGCCTCAGCATCTGGATTTGTGAACATTCAAGCATTTTGTTTTTATTCCTCCGCGCTCGCGACAGTCAGAGGAGCAGCCATTTTGTTTTCAGGTTGTCTGTCTGTCTCATTCTCGTGGACATGATATGTCAGTAACACCTTGACAAAACTTTTTCAGATTTGGCGCAAACATCCACTAGGACTTAAGGATGAACTGATGAGATTTTGGGTATTTTTGATAATCTTTGAAGAAACAAAAGAAAATTGAACACAAAATCAATTATTTTCAAAATATCCACTCTTTAAATTTTGATATTATCCACCTCTTACTTATCTAAAAAGTACATTCATTTAGTTTAGTTTTATTTAACAGTAAACCATACTCGCACATTTTGTTTGCAGCTTTATGCTTAAATAATTTTAAATAATATTCACATCCCCATAACTCATAATCAGATAAGATTAGCAAACATCCATAAATTAATCAAATCAAACCCTGCCATATATGCTGCTCAACATTACAGATCAATCATTTAATATTAATCAAAATTATATAACATGTCTACACCTTAACTAAATGCAATGCCTCTGGTTGATAATATTCATTTAATCTATACCAGTAGCGCCTTTATGTCGTACCACAAGCTGAACGTTGATGTCTTCCTCTGCTGAGACGCCAAGAGTCCACACAGGTGTTTCAAATTTCTGTGAATTGTTTTCCCCTGAACCCTGATTTAATATTCTGTCAGAACTGTAAGTGAAACTTAATTCCGGATTATCCATTTTCGACTCTCTTCCTTCATTTAAAAGAAAACTTTTTTCCTTAATCTGAATTTGAACTCATCACAGTTACCTGGCAACAGGTGTTGTAGTGTATTCTGTGACCTGATCTAGAACTTCAGCAAACATTTTATCAAACTTGACTGTATGCATTATTTTGATAGTTGTTACCAAATGTTGCCTTTGTATCCATGAAGCATCCTGCATTGGTTTAGCTGGTTTAGCTGAATTTATTGATTATAATTCATGATATGAATTAGAATTAAATGTGTTTTCTTTGGTGAAGGCACTGTGATTCCAGAGATGAGTTGATGCAACGTCTCAGCCGTTGGAGACTTGCCATAGTTCCTGCTGGCTAACCACCATCTTTGTTTGTCAGGTTTTGGAGGTACTAAGAGAAGATAGAAGCTGTGGAAGTGGGCATATACTCCACAGTGGATGACTCAAGCAGTTTTTAAAGCGGTGCACTAATGACAGATGAACTTGGTGTTTGCTGGTGGCAAGTGAAACATGACAAACGCCTCTCGTGCAGAGATCAGCCTGTCAAACAATACAATAATTTTGCTACTCAGTACTGTGTTCCTCTGGAATGCTCACTGTGATTTCAGCTGCAACAGGATGCTCTTGTTTTTCTGTGAACATGTGGTTTGACCTTTGCCTAGAAGCTTCAGCGTTTGGAAGAATGTGGTTCATGTGGTTTAAGAAGAGGATCTTGATCTTGGAGCTTTTTGTGGGAAGATTTCAATGTGAATCCACTCTTTAATTTACACATTAAACAGTGACACTGTCACACCTTTTGCATTCACATAAAGTAAATTACAGATATGTGCTCCTATGTTTAATTGCAGTCAGGTAAGAATCATGACTATGATTTTTAATCAGTAAATCAGTAAATACTCATGGGGAAATTAAGACAAAGTATAAACCATGTGTATGGCTGGGGTGTGTATGAGTCATATACTGTGCCAGTTAAGCATAGTGTACATTTCTACTGCTTTCATTTAATAAATTCAACAATATAATCATGCAGTTTTCAATATTGGCTCAGGACTTTGCCTCTAGTTACAGGCAGTCACCCAGCCACCCTGGCTTCCCACATTTATTATTAACATGTAATGCAGTAACTTTAACAGGGCAACAAGGAGCAGATCAAAACGAGGCTAGGGTTAAGGTTGAAAACTGTTGTGGATCAGCTGTAAACACCCCCTGATGACGTAGAAACTGTTCACGCCAAATCATTTTAAAGGAGCAGCGGCCTCACTCACTCAGTCTCAAACATTTGGTTGTAGAGCTGGCTCATGGCCACAAATCCCTTTATGTTTTTGTGTAAATCTGGTTTCATCAGTGCTTTGCTCTCACTTTCCATATCATTTAATGAAATCAGGTTAAATGTATACAGAGATTTGAAATGTAGTATACAGTTATTTTTAGGAAATGTTGCATGATATTTTGGTAACTAGCTAATAAAGAGACAATAAAGTGTTTTTTGATCCCGCTGCTTGTTGCTTTCCTTCCCAAGGGTAAAAACACTCATTACAGGTGACATACACTTGACACTTGAGATCATCTTGTGATTGGACCAGAGTGAAGAGCAGCTCTGCTTTTGTCTGTTCTCACTTTTTAATTATCACCTGCAGGATGTCTGTTTCAGTCCAACTCAAACCTATTTAAAATATCAACTGTGTCTGTCAGCTGTGTTTGGTGAAGAAGCAGCAACAGATAAAGTGCACCTGGTATTCCCAGGCAGTCTGCCATCCTGTACTGACCAGGCCCGAGCCAGCTTGTGAGATCTGGTAACAATAATTTACAATGTATACAACACTACAAATAAGCAAAGACACAATCCAAAAAAAGAACAAGAACACCAAAAAAGAGAGGAAGCTGTGATTGTCTGCCTGACCTGCGGACACCAAGCTAAGACAACGGCAAAGGCAGAAAGAAGAAACATTCAAACTGATTGAAATTAGCTGAAGTATCTGAGCAGCATCATGATCAGAGCTCAGGGAAGGAGCTTCACTGCTTCCTATCTTATCTCCTTTAGCAGAGCTTCCTTCACCAAAGGAAAGGAAATTATGACAATTGCTTGCAGCAGCAACATTTAAAGCGACACATCATTGTAGTTTGACCACAACAAACTCACATAAATTTAGAAACAACAGAGTAGCTGTTTTATACTTGTGACCTGATCAAGAACTGATGGAAATCCTTGTTTGATCGACTGAAGCCCAAATCCATAAATCAGTTGTTCCTAACCTATGGGCGGGGGCCTGCAAGTCGGCCAACAAATCATTTGCCAAACAGTAGGCTGCAATTTTGGTGAGAAGATGTAAATATAAAAAAATATATATATATAAATAATGTGTTTAAGTGTTTTAAAGTAAGATGATCTTTTAAAATGTTTAAATACTCCTTATTTTTTTAAGGCCTGTCACTGTGATAAGACAATGATAGGAACTTTGATGTTTTTATTGCTGGAACACATAATTTACTTGTTTGCTGTCTCAGACTGATTTCACACTAAAAATCACATCACATGGCAAAAAGTAGAGAATCAACATGGAGAGCCGGTTAGCAACAGGAAGAATTAAAAGGAAAGAGAGTCAAGAGACAGATGATGAATCCACAAGTGATCTCTCCCTGTCAAACATAAATGTTCCATTGTTATCATTAAAACAATAAGTGCTGTTGTTTCACTAAACCACCCCACCTACTAAATATATAAGGTCAATGCACCTATGCCAGGAAACAATATACTCATGTCTGAATATCATTGCTCTGGCCCCTTCTTCAGTTCCTTACTTTGGTTAATGATGACTCTATATGTATATTCCTCCAATGGTATCTTACTTGAACATCTTCATCTTGTTTGCTTTGTTCTTGTTTTGAGCAGTATTGATGTTACTTCCTGTGAGGAATTGATGGTTAAATGTTCTGTATAAAGTTAAAACATCTTTCTCAGCAGCTATGATTCTGTTTGTCATTGTGTTTATCTTTAAATGAAGTTAGTTTAAAAAAAAATCATAGTGTAAGTGCAGTCAGATTCTCTAAGCAGGTTGTCTTTAGTGCTAAGGAAGTTGTTAGGAAAGGAGATTTCTTTTGACTTTTCGCAGCTGAACGTTTAAATAACAGATTTCAAGAGTAATCAGTAAAGCCAAAAAGCACTGAGCAAATGTTCCGTTCTGTTTACTGTAAGTATAGAGTGGGGCGGGGCGAGCAGCGAGCAAGCCAATCCAAACCCTCCTACCACATGATTTTGATATCCGGAATAATAACAACAACAGCAGTTCTTTTGATCCCATTTAGGAAAGTGAGAGAAACGTTAAATCTCATAGAGCGCTGGTGAGTCCACATCTGACTGTAGGAAGAGTGTAATGACCGTGAACAAGTCATGAAGTCGGCTCTGCTGCACGTGTCGCTGCCTGTCGCGCTCTGCGTCGCCTTGGCGAACACCAGCCTGTTCGACGAAGTTGAAGTGGACTTGTCTTATGAGCACTATGCGGAGCGACGGGTCGAGTCTCTGCCAGTTTTCCTGGCAATGCCCTGTAACTGTCTGGTGAACCTGGCCTATGTCTACATGGGACTGTCCTGGCTGCTGTGGGACAGAGGCGACAAGGAGACGGCGCAGAGCCGCTACATGAGACAGGTGTTCGCCTTCATGGCGCTCTTTTATGCACCTGTGCAGTGGACTCGCTTGGCTGTGCTGAGGCGCGCCCCCGCCGTGCTTGACCAGTGGTTCACCTTACCGATCTTCGCGTGGGTTCCTGTGTGGATCGGCTTCATCGACCGCGGGCCAGCAAGGTGGCGCGCGTCCCATGCGGCAGCGTTTGAACTGTGTTCGCTCCTCAGCTATGGTCTGGCGCTGGTGCACGAACGCGGCTTCGAGGTGGCGCTGGGCTGTCACGTTGGCATTGCCGTTTATAAGGGAGTTCGCCTGCAGTTGGAGCAGGGGGACGGTCACACGCGGAGATATCTTCTGCTCGCGGTGCTGTCGTGTGCCGGATTCGTGGCGCTGAAGCTGCTGGATCACTGGCTCGCTCGGTACCGGCTGTTCCAGCGGCTCACCGGGCACTTCTGGTCCAAAGTGTGCGACGTGTCGCAGTTCCACTTCAGCTTCTGGTTCCTGACCGCGCTGACTCAGAGGGCCCAGGGAGAGAGCGCTGCGCGCCAAGACTGAGAGACCGCAGGTCCGCGGACCCGCTGGGAGTCGCCTACCGCAGTTTAATTTCACTCATCTCACATTAAGATTATTTTGTGACTTTGGCCTGTAGGTGTTGTGGCAGTTCACCAACTAAACCTTCTCTGACGCCATTTTCTGATAAGCCGAGACTGTATGCTGTAATTAAAGCCTTTATTAATACACTAATGCTCCCTACATCAGTTATAATGTTCCTACATGTTGCTTACTCATCTTACTCAGTAATAATCATTTTATGGTGTAATAAACAGTAGTAGAACAGTCTTCTTGTTTTGAGTCAGCATTTCGTTTTCTAATTATGCTTTTAAAAGTTTCACTAAAGATCTGATTAAAAAATAATCCGTTTAAGTGTGTGACTCTTCCTACTCCAGACACATATCAAGGAAGCTCTGACACAATATAATGTTCACAGTACAGTCCACATGAAGAATGTACTGCAGATCCATCCAATCCATTTCTCAAAAACTCAGAACAGGAAACATTTGAGACTGAAACGCAAAGAAAAGCTCTGGGTCTTTATGATTGGAAATCACATTGATGACTTATGGTAAAACTTTAATTGAAATTTGGATTATTCACTGAATAGATAAACAAAGAGGAAAAAAGCAATGAGTTGATTGGAAGGAAATTGAGCTGTATCACTGTCATGTTTATAGCTCACGTTGAGTGACAGCCGTGAGGACAGGCTCGGACTGTGCTTTCCTTTTGGTCCACAGCAGGGTCAGGCCTGCCACCCTGAAGTCGTGGTGGGAGCAGTAGATAAGAGGGTTCAGACCACAGTCCAGGTATGACATCACTGATGACAGTGTCCTTAACCAGTCAGGAGCCGGTGACAGGTCCAGCCTACCCAGCAGGATCAGCTGATTGGTGGATGGAGAGAAAGAAACAAAGACAGTCAGTGAGTAGAGAAGCAGGTGTTGACTGTGGCTTCTCCACCTGTGTACATGCAGGTACAGCAGCTCAGGTGATGCTTCAGAGTTACTGAGTGCATTTGTCACCTCAGACACAACAAAGGGAGTGTAGCAGAGCACATAGGAGGCCACCAGCAGCGGTGTGACTGCAGACAGGTCTGCTTCATCGCCACTGAGAAAAGGAGGAAACAAGACAGCTTTGTTTACGTGTGCACTATAATAGCACAGCAATATATAGTAAATATTACACTACATATATAATTTTATGTATTAAAACTACAGGGATTGTGCTTTGTAGTTTAGTCATGGTATCAACATGAAGTGAGTATTTGTATTTCTTGTTTGGAAGTAATAGTGGTCAGTTAAAAAACATCAAAAGACAAAAAACAACCACAAAGATGTGAAATAACCACAAAGTGATGCACAACGAGCACAGGGAGACTCAAAACCATCCAAAAGAAATGCACAATGACCAAAAAACAGACTGAAATCGACCACATAACATCTCAAAATGCCCACACAGACCGAAAGCAACCAAAAACAGATTAATAAAACGACCAAAAAGAAAAACAAAATGGCCACAAGAAAACTCAAAACCACCAAAAACAAATGCAAAACAACCACAAAGAGATTGAAAATGACCACAAAGAGATGTCAGACAACTACGAGGAGACTCTAAACTGGCACAAAAAAGCTGCAAAACAACCAAAAGCTGACTGAAAATGATCACAAAAAGGCACAAAATTACCACAGAGACTGAAATCAACCATAAACAGATTCAAAACAAGAAAAAGGAGAAAAAATGACCAGAAAAACAATAAGGTGTAAAATCGCCACAGAGACCCAAAACGACCAAAAACAAAGATGAAATAAAATCATTTGGAAAGTTGTAGGAGGCTCGCGCTGCCTGCACTCATACAGGTAGTTTCACATGAGTCCTCATTTACCTGATTCTTGTAAACGCAGGTGGTTAGCATGATTCATGGTACCATAATAGTCACAGTTATGGGAACTGCACCAAACTCCAAACCTTGGAACGTGTCCATTTTATATTACCAGGCATAAACAAGAACGTCATCTGAGCAGTCTCCAGCTTGTGTCATGTCTCTTGAAATCATCTTTTCTCAGGTGTTTTACCTGTTGCAGCTTGAGCAGCAGCCGGTGGCACTTAGCACAGAGCAGAAGAAGATGATGAGGAAGGGGAGGAAGATACAGATGGAGAAAGCACAGAGAATGTAGACCAACATGTCTGAGTAGCTGCTCTCCCAGAAGACAGCACACAGCATCTCTGCACTGTCATACCTGGAGGAGAGAGAAGACATAATGGAGAGGAATATGGTATGTTACCCCACTTACTATGGTTCAGTCATGATCCAGGCATCCATGTGGAACATCACTTTGTATTCTCACTGCAACCACATTTAGCTGCATGTATCTGTTTCATTACATATCATATGAAGTCCTTAATTTCTATTATTCATTACTATGTAGTAACTCTCATGAACCGCCATGTGTCATGTGAAAGCATGAAGTAGTAATACCTGATCCAGGTGTAGACAACAGGGACACTCCCAAACACCACCCCTGTCACCCAAGAAACCGAGCATGCTGTCACAATGATGACAAAGAGAGCACTTCCTGTGGAGGCCCTGCCAATCAGCCGCTGCACACAAAGGAGAGCTGTGAAGGAGAGTAGAAACCCTCAAACTGAATGAATTGAAGCTGTGGGACTGCTGTCTACTGCAACGGCTACTGCTACTGCAGGTCAGGACAAGTTATGGAAAATAACTAAGTGGGTGGATTTAATTGAATACTATTCATACCTTTACTTTAAAGCAGTGGTTCCCAACCTTTTCCAACTCAGGGCCCACTTGAAAATCTCAAAAATGTTGGCAGCCCACATCAGACCCCATAATGATATTGGGGCCAAATAAATGTGTTCTCAGAGCACATTTTGATGCTCCTGTTTTTGCCTTGGATGTAATGGTTTAGTGCGCAATCTATATATCTATATACAGTATATACATATATATATATATATATATATATATATATATATACTAATATAGCAAACAAGTGTATGATATGGTCTGGTGGCTAAGTGGTCTGCCCAGGGACAACATAAAAGTTCCTATCATTGGCTTATCACAGTGATAGGCCACAGTGATACATTCCATCAACAGCTGTAGATGTATACTGGTAACTTAGTTGATCAAGATTTTACATACAGCTAATAACAAATAATCAGTTTGCAAAATATCAGAATATTAGCCATGTATCCATATATTTATACAGTATATAGTATACGTTGACCTTGGGAGAACAGGACCAAATCCATTATTGTTGTAGAGTGCTGTCCCATTGTACTTGCAAGGAGATCAGGTAAAGAAGTTCACAGTAAATGTGAGGTACACATGTTAGGGTGTCAGAGGTGTTAGGAGAAGAGGTCTCTCTGAAGAGATGAGTCTTCAACAGATTCTTGACGATAGAGAGACGACCTGCTCTGATAGACTTTGGTAGCTTGTGCCACCATTGGGGAACCACAGACCAGAACAGTCTGGACTCAGATTACATTGTAAGCAGGGAAAATGTTACTTGGAGGAATGGAGGTTTCGAGAAACAGCATAAGGCTGTATGATTGAGTTAAATTAGTGCAGACCCAGAAGTCACTCTGCAGACAAGCAGTGGTGACTTGAATTTGACAGCCATGGGTAGCCAGTGGAGGTCAGTGAGCAGTAGAGTGACATGTTCCCCTTCAGGTTGATCAAAAACCAAACACACTGCTGCATTCTGGACTTTCTGTAGGGGTTTCACTCTGTATGAAAGGAGAGCCACTAGAAGGGCATTACAGTAGTCAAGGCAAGAGATAACCATGGCCTGCATCAAGAGTTGGGTAGGCTACTGAGTCACCGATTTTTCTGATGTTGTGTAGAATAAATTGGCATGACCGAGAGATGAAGCAAGATGGTCAGAGAAGGAGAACTGGTCATCAATCATGACATCCAGGTTTCTCATAAACCTTGATTGGGGTAGGAGATGAAGTTATTGTGATGGAGAGAATGATTTGCTGGGATGAGCAAGAGTTCAGTCATAGAGAGATTTAGTTGACCAGTTTAGTTTAGTGACTTTGTCCACTTCCCTTACCTTACTGCATGTGTAAGTGGACAGGCAGTGATATTGGTTTACAATGGCAATGCCTTTATAGGTATATATTCTGGTGCCCAATGGAAATACCTGAAAAAGTTTTTTGGCTGAAGAAGAGTAAAGTGTCCCCGTCTCTAGTGATAAGAGCTTTTACTCGGGTCTCCAGGGTAACAAACATCTGCACAATGATAGAAACAGGGTCCCCAGGTACCAGGGGCATGAGTATCTTGTGGGTGCAACTGCGAGGGGTGCTTGGGTTAGGGGGTCTGCCCTGGAGCATGTAGAGGCTGGTGGAGGGGGTCTCCGTGCCTGGATGTCTCCCAGGGAATGAGGGCCTGTCCTGGGGGGTATGCAGAGGCTAGTGGAAGGGGTGTTGGTATACAGACTTTGTCCACTTAACCTACCTTATTGCAGAGCATGGGTTCAGCAGAATGGACAGGTAGTGGTTGCACATTGATACAATGGCAATACCTTGAACAGACACTGGCATAAAATGGCTATACCTTTCAGTCTGTGACAATGGGGTGCATGGGTCACCAAGCAATAGCAATATCTGAGCTGGTAAGTTATTGCCATCAGACACCCTGTCCATTGGCACCTGGAGAGTGAGGCATCTGGTGGAAGGAGTGTGTGTTGCACCAAAAGCACCAAAACTTTGAAAAATTGTATGTTCACAGGGGAAAGGACCAGAGCTCCTGTTTGTTGACCACACTGATCCTTGGAAAATCTAGATTTTTTTACTACCCTCTCCAGGATTTTTAGGACCTCATAGGAAAATGTCTGTCTTGTTACTCATATTTTATCCTATTTTAGTAAAACAAATGATTAATTTTAGAATACTTCTTATTGTTTTTAAATGTTTTAATGGCTTAGCTTCTTCCTATGTTTGTGACATGCTCACTGAATACACATCAAAGAGATCCCTTAGCGCATCATAAAAAGGTCTCCTCACTATACTAAGAATCAACGCTAAATCAGTTCATGGTGCTTTCAGTCATTATGGTCCTACTCTCTGGAATTATTTACCATATGAACTATGGTTTGCTACAACAGTGTCTTATTTTAAAAGTAAATTAAAAACATATCTCTTTTAGCAAGCTTTTAATTAGGTTGAAGTGTGGTGTGGTCAGTATTATTATTGTTATTATCTCCCATGTTCTATGTTTTATTTAGGTAATATTTTCTTATCCTATATGCTATTTTATTGTATTTTGTCATGTATGATCTATCCTTGCTTTCATTTTGAGTTTCACATTGAGTTTACACCTGCCGTATGAAATATGCTATATAAATAAAAAACTGACTTGACTTGACTTGACTTGTCCAACTGTTGTGGAGTTGGACTGTTCAGGTGTTTGAAATGGACGCTATATTCAGTGACTTCTCTATGCTAGGGTAGAGCGGGAAGAAAAATCGGCCCAAGACTTTTGACTGCGACTGACTGTGTGACACTTTACAAGAATCATGTAGTAAATAGAGTTTAAATTGACTATGATGATTAGTAGAACAATACATTATAATCTGTTATTTACACAGTACACACAGACCCATGATGGTTTTATTACTGTCATTTGTTACAAGAAACTCCTTTTCATATTACGGTCCACAGCTACAACAACACGATACAGTCTGAAAAATGGAGACTTTCCTCCTGTACTTTGTAATGTTTTGTTGCTAGGCGACATCTAGTGGTCGTAGTAATTATGACAGGAGCAAAGGGAAAAGTGTGTTGACATTGGTGAAAGAGAGACAAAGTCCACGCTAGCAGGAGGTTGTGGTGGATGGATGAATGTGACACAGGAGTGCAGTGTTCGATTCCTATGTTGTTTCTGTTATCCATGACTGTTCAACAAAGTTAACCACGTTGTTTTTATTGTAACCATGACAACAAAGATTGTCTGTTGAGGAAGTACTTATTTTAACGCAAATCAAGACCATATCTAAAACTAATGAAGCCATGATTGTTATTTTAGTAATCAGGGTGACAAAGGTAGATACGCTGCTGTTAGTACAGTCTGGGTGTTTAGTACTGTAACCATTGGGCTACTTCTTTTGTGCCTTATTCTGTATATCTAATGTATTAAATAATAAATAAATAAATAAATAAATAAAAAAAATAAAATATATATATATATATATATATGTATATATAATTATTATTAATTATTATTATTGTATTTATATTATTGTAATCATGACAACTGACGCCTGGTACGCCTGCCGCCATAGGAAACACTGCTATGGTTTTTCATATTTGAGGAGTGATGGCCATATAACAGAGTCCACACACTAACAGGTGTCAACAAAATGTGAGGGAGCTGGTGTTTGTACTGGACTCTGAAGCTGAAGCTCACTCTGCTGCTCCGCTGATGAACAACTATTTGAAGATTTAGTTGAGTGGAATGGATGGAATAGAAAACACGAGGCAGTGGTCTGTGTAGAGCTGCACAGTACCTATGCTCCCTATGGAGGAGGTGATGAAAGCAAACTTCAGCAGGCTGACGACCTCACACCATGGTGACCTCTGACCTCCCGTCAGCATGGCCAACAGGGAGCCGGAGATGATGAGCAGGGAGCAGCCTTGACAACACAGTGGTTCATTATCAGAAATGTTGTCTTCCTGTACTGAGATGTCAAGCACTGTGATGAAGATGTTACAATACTAGAGTCAAGAAAATGAGGTGGGTTGAGAGGTAGTGGGATACACCAAGAGAGGAGATTACAACGTATATTCTTGTAATGCACTATTGTTGGCATTGGCATGTAAATTTTACCTAAATCTGACAAGGTGAGACTGATGAAAGGAAGCCAGTAACGACAGCAGAACTGACCCCTGCACTGAAAACGACAGAAAGAAGAAGAAAATATTTTGAGATCATGTTAAAGTGAATGATCATCCAAAACCAAAAGATCCAGTCTATTTCAGCCACAGTACTTCATGGTCAGGAATAACAGTTCACACTAATATGAGGAACTGCTATCCCACCTTACCATGACTTTGACCAGCAGAACAAGACAGTTTCCCACAACTCCCATCACCATCTCAAGTCCCAGCACAGCCACCAGCAGCCACCTCTCTGCCTCTGTCCACAGACATTCCATGAACATTGTCCCATTAAACCACTCAGCCACTGGGAGACAGGAAACACACAGCACAGCAGACTTTAGTATAAAGGGACTACCTGAGCTCATGTCCACCGCACTAAACCTGCTATTACTCAAGGTTTTATACCAACATGTTGAATTGGAATAAGTTACTCTTTGCATATTGACATAAAAAGGAAACCAAAACATTGCTAAATGGAATGTTAAATTATGGTTTACAGGAAGTGTAAACTTACCATTCTAGTTACATTGTAATCCTTCACAGTATATCTTTTGGATGTTTGGCTTGCATAGTTTAACTGGTGATAATTTAGACAGATGATGCTACGTGGACTCCTGCATCTTTACTCTTCTTGAACTTTATTGTCCCATCTTTCACATTTTGTAGTTCTGTGTGATTTAATGTCTTCTTTTCTCATAATGTCAAATGAACTAAAAGTAAAAATAGAAAAAAACTGGAACTGGGTATTACTATTATACAATTTAACAATATGTATCTATATGTATTTATTCATATTTATATATAGTTATTGATATATATATATATATATATATATATATATATCAGAAATGTTGACTTCCTGCACTGAGATGTCAAGCACTGTGATGAAGGTGTTACAATAGTAGAGTCAAATGAAATGAGCAGGTGGGTTGAGATATATATACATATACATATATATATACTGTATATGGTATAGTATATAGTTCTGTAAATATACACACACACACACACACACACACACACATATATATATATACACACATATATATATATATATATATATATATATATATATATATATACATACAGAGAGAGCGAGAGCCTGTAGTTATTAGTTATTAGTACACTGTATACTACCCACGATTGTACATTTTTGGAAGAACCATAAAACTAAGACGAATGGATGGTGAGTCAGACACTGGTGCAGTATTCTCTTTCTTTCTTTTGTACCACTAACTGAATGTTAAGTAAACAGAAAGGATGGTCACTGCCTAATGATATCTGACCTTTTCCTTGGTTTACAGACAATATGGAGACTTGTCATACAGACAAAGGCACTTTACTCATTCACAGGGACAGACGAAGATTTAAACATCAAACTGACAACATTTGATGTTTGATCAGAAAAAAAAAAACAGCTACACTTACTTGTAGAGTGAGCTGTCAGTCCACAGCCATCAACAGTGGGTTGTAGGTGTTTGTACTGGACAGCTCAGATGGAAGTGTCATCAAAAACATTTTCAATTAAAATTCACATGCTCCATTACCTTAACTAGAAGCAGCTCTGACGCATGTGTAATTCAGCTTCTACTGCTGCTAACTACTACTGCCAACCTAATGACTAAACAACAACAGTAAGGGAAATCAGCTACTATTAGGAATCACATTTCTATAACATGTCAAGCAATATGTTTTTAAACTGCAGCAGGAGCAATTTCTCTTTTAAATCAGCTGTGTAGTTTTAACCTTAACTGGAGAGGTTCACACTGCTGACTGCTCTTAATTAATAAAACCTCAGTTAGTGGTTACACCACAAATGCTGATACAACTCTATACATTTTTCTGACAAGGTGAAAGAGGAGATGGATTAAATTAATTCACCAATTTCACTAATTCACTAGTTTCTTAGAGGGTCTATAATTGAAATCTCAACAATGGATCCATCTGACAGCAGCTTATTCCTCGGAGAAGTAAATATTATGAAGACAAAATGGGGAAGAAATATCTTGCATATTAATGGGAAAATGCAAGAAGCAATCAGTAAGGTAGAACAGTAGGCTTATGATTGGGGATTTAAATTTTCAGTTGAAAAAACAAACAGTGATCTTCACAAGGAAAAGATTTCTGCCTGAAGTAAGCCTGCAGATTTATGGAAAAATATTGAAGAGAGTAAATGTTTTAAAATTTTTAGGAATTTTTTTTTGTTTCAAAGTTAACATGGTGTGATCATAAACATAAAATAGTTGTGAAATGTCAGAAGGTTTTAAATATCATGAGGTGTCTAAGTGGCATGGAATGGGGAGCAAGTTCTTCTTCATTAAAAACTATATATGTGACAATGATCCGGTCTGTGATAATGGAAGTGTGGTATATGGCTCAGCTTCAAAAACTCTGCTTGGAAAACTTGACAAGATACAAGCCCAAGGTCTAAGACACTATAGTGGTGCAGTGAAGACAACCCCTATCTCAGCCCTACAAGTCCTCGGGGGAGAGATGCCTTAGAAATTAGAAGGAAACAGTTAATGACTAACTACTGGGCTAGTCTCAAAGGACATAAAGAACAACATCCTACAAAAGTAGTGATGCAGGAGTGCTGGGAACAAGGTAAAGGGCAAAGAGTTAGCTTCGGGTGGGCTGGTAAAAAATATGCAGAAGTTATGGGGGTAAATAATATCAAGATGAGCCCAACAGTAGTGATCCCAGAGGTTGAACCATGGACACACATAACACCACAAACAGATTTGTACCTGCTGGAGCTCAGGAAGGCAGAGAGAGGGAAAGTGAATTAGTTGACAGCATCCTCGCCCATGTTCATGAACCATATTTTCAGCATACACAAATATATACAGATGGGTCAAAAGATCCAGAACGGCAGACAACTGGGGCTGCTTTTTCAGTTCCAGACACGAAGATTATTGCAATAAAACAAATTATTTAATTTGGGAATCTATACAGTGAAGATGCTGGCAGTATTTTTGGCTCTGCGGTGGGTGGAGGAAAACAAGCCAAGGAAGATTATTAATAATATAATTCTGTTTCCTTCAATTCTAGCCGACAAGATATCCTATTCAAAGTGTTACATACGACAAGGTATGTCAATTAAATTAATTTGGGTTTCAGCACGTGTATTTCTCAGCTGATATGCCTATTAAATGATATGACTTTGTACTGGGCTGCTCAGATGTCATTAGTAGATACAAAACAGCGGCAAAAAAGGCGCAAATTTGTACTGTATCCGTGTTAGTGTAATACTGTATCGTCTATTGTTGTATTCTTTTGGCAGGAATAGTAATCCATGAATTTGTGTTAAAAATCCCCGAGCTTTGTGCAGCAACAGGCTGTAATGACAAGAAAAACGGATCAGTCTTTTCTTTCCCAAAAGATGTAGAGAGGTAAGTCTAGACAGGGATAGATTTTAATATTAGCTACTGTCACATTTCATGCCAGTTGCCTTGGCTTGAGGGAGGGGTTGAGGAACAACGCCCACTAAGGAGACCGGAACTGTGTCCCATTTCATACCACTGGCGCTGCCTGTAATGCGGTATCTCTGTATAGAGGATCTTTGGAAGAACAACGTCCAGTGACGTAACACGTTGTGTAACTTCCTGTACACGCAGGGTCCGTTCCGCAAATCGTCCGCTGTTCTGGTTCAGAAGGCCAAATAGCGACAATTAGGTGAGTTTAAAAACATTTTACCTCTTTAAATCTTATTTCATAAAAAGGCTCCTTTACGTTACGACAGACAGTAAATGTATTATTATTCATGTCATTCATGTTCATGTCTTGCAAGGATTAGAATTGTCTTTAATTCACCTCAAGCGACCTTTGTGCAAAAGTCCTTGACAGTACGACGCTAGCTTAGCTTAACTTAGTTTAGCAATAAACCACGACTTTCCACAAAGTAAACCCAAAGTCAACGACAGTTTACTGTTCATAGTACATGTGTGTTGTGCAGTGAAGTCGAGTTGTCTCAAGAGTATATTGTGTGTGCGTCTTCCAAGCTAATGTTGTAAAGCTGAACAATGTCATGCTACCGAAGTAGCGTGAAGTGTCAGCGCTAACTTGGTTCATGGATAGCCGAGGTGGAGAAACACCTGCACCTCAAAGTGGATGACTGGGAAAAAAGTCCCATTTACTGGTGAATCACAGTTTGAGATGTTTGGCAACAGAAGGGTGTATATAAGGAGGCAAACAGAAGAGAGAATGATACCACGGTGCATCATGGTGGGGGAATATTCATGTCTTGGGGTGTTTTTACTCTGGAGTTTGACACCTGCACCGACCTGACAACACCCTGAAGAAGAGGAACCACTCCACTCAGAGACATGCTACACTCTTTGGTTTGCATCTTTGTGAAGAAGGATTCATACTACAGCAGGATCATGACGCAAACGCCTCAAAGCTTTACTACAAGTACTTGAAGACCAGAGAAGTCCTGATCGTTTTTTTTGCCCGCGATCAGTGTCATTTAGTATTGAGCATCTGCTGATACCGAGTCCTGATACAATACGTCGCACAGTGCACGCTTTAAAGTTATAATCCTTAACTTTTCCACATTAATTTGTCTAAAAATGACTAGACCTATGTTCTATATTTTTTTGAGTTGTGCTCTTATATTTTCCCAAATGTTTTGATCAATTCTCAAACCAGAAAAATATGTAATTTTTAAGTGGTAACGCTCCATGTCATTTGGTTGATTCTCAATGCCATCATATCTTCTCTGATCATGTTTTGTGTTTGTCTGACAGAAGCTCAACATTGACTTTTATCTAGTTTTAAGCAACATACACTTTTTACACCTTGGTGGTTTTCAACTCTATATTTGAACCAGATTAAGGTTTTTAATCATCAGACGTCTGGATTATCAGTTATCAGTTATCAGAGTTACAAGCTGAGGAAATGTTGGACAGCTCAGCTCCCAGCTGCTGGAGACGACCTGTCCTGTGTCACTGAAGAGCATCGTCGGTGAATCTCTGATCTTTAAACGTAATCTGCTTTATTGGTGTTTCTACTGGTTTTCATCTCCAGGTGTGTTTGTTATGGAGACACCTCTGTGGATAATTCAGCTTCTGCTAAAAACCTGCTGAACGTCTGATTTATAAATTATTAGAGAAACAATCCAAACAAAGGTTAGCATCAATCTCAGCTCCAACTCTTCCCTGACGTCTTTGTCCTCTGTACAGCGTCGCTCAAACACTGACTTTAAATGTGAAATTGGTTAGAATCACCGAGTCTGTTTGATTTCCTGAACCACTGACACTGTAGGAATCCAAACAGCTCCCATGATCCCACTCTATTTCATAAAATTACCCAACACCATCTTTTTTTAGTGTTTTTATTGAAAGTGGCAGAAGTTACAAACTGTGCGTTTAAATAAATTAAGTTATTTAAATCAATCTAATGTATATGCTTGACAATTGAAAAGCTCTGCAATGCATTAATAAAAAAAATCCTGAATCCTTAATTCCTTAATATTTTCTTTATTATTATTGTTAAATCAAATGGCAGTCTGCAGTGAGGCTAAGCAGTCACAAGGGGCAAATGTCTGAGGTAAAGCCAAAAGCCGTCTGATAAAAGATCTTCTAGGTAGTTACGAACCTTGTTGTAAAGCTCCGGTAGGGCAGTGTGTTGTGCTCAACACAGTCAATACCAATCTGTTAAAAAATGCCTTGATTGACCCCAATACAGATTGGGACATCCCAACCAAGGAGTCAAGACTGTCATGGACTTTCCTCCATGGTCACCTGACCTCAAACCCCACTGAACATTTATGAAGGCTTTTGAAGGTTGCGAAAGATGAGCACGCTGTGACATCACAAGAACCTCTGTGTCAGATCTTGCGGGGAGAACATCAGGTTTTGTCCATGCAGCTCAAGTGTGTGCTGTCATTAAAGCAAAAGGCGGACAAAGCAAGTACCAAGATATTCTGAAAATCATACACATTTTCTCTCAAATTGTTAAAGCTGATATCATTTATAATGAAAAAAAATGTTTTACATTCAAAACAAATGCAAAATAGAGGTATCTTGACTCGTGGTCTTAGACTGTTGCAGTCACTTTTTTAGAGTCATAGTTTTAGAACAGTTGTTCCAGTTTTTCAACATAATGCAATGTCTCAGTAGTTCTGAAATTAAGGCATAGACCATTTTTCTTTTCTTTCTTTTTTTCTAAAGCAATCATGGAATTTTAAACCCTAAACTGAATCTAGATGTCTGACTCCTCCAGCCAAAGTCTCTGTCGTTCTTTCTACAGTGGAGATCAGACCATTTTCAGAAAGTTGGTCTACTAATATGTGTCACTGTCAGCTTCAGTCCAGTTCTTCCCAGACCAGATCCATGAGGTTCAGATCTGGAGACTGTGCTGGTCTTCATCGTGTTGCTGTAGGATGAAGCTCTGACCAACCAGTCTGTTTTCTTTTGTACCTGCTCTGTCTCCCTCCACTCTGACACCAGTATACAGTCATACTTCCTGCAGCACAGTGTTGTCATGGTGACTATCAGAGGGTGTAGTGTCCAGAGGTGAAGTGTTTCATTTACTTCCACTGCTGCAGGACAGACGGACGTTGACAGTTTCTTCATCCCTGTTTCCTATGACTGTTACAGGAGTTTCAGTTTTTAGTGTTAAGTTTTACATTTTTACTGTTTACTTATTTGATCTGCGCCCTCTCAAAACGTGCTTGTAGAGAGAATCCTGCTCTGTTTTTTACACCGTGGAATTACTTTTTTCATTCAGCTACCTTTTTGTATGATATCGTGTGTTGTGCAACTATAACAAATCAATTTTCCTGCATGATCAATACATTTTTACTGATTCTAAAGGTTTTAAAGTCTCCTTCATTATTCCATGAAAGGTGTGTCACTGCTGCTGCAGCAACTGCTGGCCGTGTTGATCAGCAGCCAAACTACAATAACTAACTTCCTTTTTTTTGTTTTACCGACATGTACCCGTCTCTTTCACCTCTCACAGTATCTTTGCCTCATGTCTCTCCTCCTGCTTCTTCCTCACAGTGTAAACCTGAAATACAGCTGAAGTTTTTGTAGGTTGAAACAACTCCAATGGTACAACAAGGAGGCCAAATTATAACATCTCGCCTGAATCAATTCTAAAGAGAAAGATTGACTAATCTGGCAGCATTGATAATCTAAAATCTTGCTGTGTCAGTATAATGTTTTTACACTGTTTGGATTGTGCCAGACATCAGGGAGGAGTGAGGATTTGTTTACTTTAATATGCAGAATTGGCTTCAAATAATAAATATATAATGATGCAGTGATGCAGTAAATTTTTTTAACTGTTCCCCATTGTTATTGTGTGTGTGGTTTCAGCTTCAAGGACATCATGGCTGCAACACTGCGTTTACTCTTCTCTGTGTCAAGGCCAGGTAAGATGAAAAAAAACAACACAAATTCTAGTAATTTCGGTACAAACATGTCAAGACAATAATCCAGTGTAGCTGTTGTTATTAGGAAGCATTTAAACACCAGATATGATTGAGTTGGGGTTAAAATTTGACAAATTGTTTGACAAAACCACGTAAACCAAGTCTGATTTCTTCATTAGTCCTTCTAGTTACATTTCCTTCACAGGTTTGATTCTGAACATGTGGCACAAGCACTTTTTAGAGTCATGCTGATACAAAGCTGCTTGAGACTCATCAGGTCTAGTTGTCAGTGTGTTACTGTTAGGGCTATAATCAAAATCACAAAATGGTGCTGCAATTGTTTTGATGAAGGTAAAATGTGTCATAACTAGGCATGCCCTGATTGATCAGCTGCTGATCATTATCAGCCAATTTTCATTAAAAATACTTGATCAGTAGATGGGAATCAATGTTTCTAGTCACCAATTACCTTAAAACTGATCATCTGTGGTTAATACTCTGAGAAAAGCTCTGTTTGCTGTGTAGTGTAGCTCCGCCTCCCACCGACAGGCCACCCAAACAAAACATGTCGGCCTTGTGGAACTTTTACAAAGCGCGTGAGACTGATATAACGTACGCCATCTGCTATGCATGACAAACATGATTGGTATCGGTGACAAAAAAATGTGATCACGGCACCTCTAGTCATTGCTGTGCATTGAACATTGTTGTTGGAGTGTTGTGGTGCTACAGAGACGCCCCGGCCTACAAATAATATTTTCCAGATGTAAAGGAACAAGTTTGTTTGGTACAAGACCAACAAACATTTTTAAAAAATTTTCTCTGAAATTAAAAATACAAAAATGATCATTCCAACTGAAATTGCAATATCTGCGAAAATAATAACAACAGGATTTTTTCCTTATGGTGCAGCCCTAGTGTCTGCTGTGGAGACAGTTTCTCTCCGAGTGTGACTGGCAGGGTTGTTAAACAATGAGTACAATATAAATCTAATCTGCAAGGGACACAACAGAGGTTGTGAAATTTCAAGCCACATAGATGTCACTGATATGAGCCACATTGGTACTGCCACATGCACAGTGTCCTTCAGTTGTGTAGTGAGGTGTTGTAATGTGATGTATTCCAGTGCTGTCTAAAGGACGTTTTCACTACAGTAATCTTAATGCAGTTTCTAATTAATTTTTACCTTCAGGCACTTTTGTGACCAGCCAGAGTCTAGTGAGATCCTTCAGTGTCTCTGCACAAAGGGAAGGATTCAGTAAGTACCACAGCAAACACAAATACAATTTATTGTGTTGCATTGCTGTCACTGATGTGTTTCCTATTGATGGCCTGACCCACAAAGTGAGATCAGTGTTACATTTCTCTCTGTGCATTCGTCAGGTTTGCTGGTTTCACAAAGCAGACTCACTTTTCACCGGGGTTGCAGACTTTGTCACAAACATTCACTTGGACTCAAGGATGAACTGATTAGATTTTGGGGGTCTAAGGTCAAGGTCACAATGACCCAACAAAACATGGGGGGACCACACCTCTGAATGTGGTCTGAGTGATCAGATCTCCTCAACGTGTCTTGGGTGTTTTCACACCTGAACTTAGAGCTGTCCACTGGTGATTACCTGAGACAGATGTTAATACCAGGTGTGAACAGGGCCTCAGACCAGACAGCCACTCTTCCCCCTCCCATCCTTAACCACCGTCCAAGGCTAGACCGCAAGAAGCCTCTGTGGAAGCTGCAACACTGCTGACGCCAAGTCCTTGCAACAGGTAGTGAGGATGGCTAAGAGGATACCTGGGGGCTCTCTCCCAGCCATCTGTCAGCACATGCCAGAGTGTCTGGGCAGCCTTCACCAGACACCTACCCCACTTCCTCCCCAAAGACCTGAACAATGACTGACCCCTCCTCCATACAAATATATATCCCCACCCTACCACAACCACTCTACCTCAGGAATGATGTTAGAGTAAGATTTTTTTTCTGTCTCATGTTGGATGTTTTGTTTTGCACCCCTGGCCTCAGAGAAACAAAATCTTACCTCTGCTGTGAACAGAAATCTGGATGACCTGACCACAAAAGTTCTCTGGAGTCTTGAGTAAAAGATGTGTGAGTGAAAAAGAGGGTTTAGCCATAATGGTCACATGGTCACAGTATCCGCACAGCACTTGCTAACACCACCACCTTTACCTGATTGTGTTTGTGTGTGTAGAGTATGTGAACGCCCAGGAGATTCCTACAGACATGAAGTCCATCACAGACCGAGCTGCTCAGACGCTGCTGTGGACAGAGCTCTTCAGAGGTCAGCTGCTCTTCTCTCACTCTCACACACACACACGATAGATGATGATGAAATGATGTAGAGCAGAAGTTGAGGGAAGTTGAATATTTTTACTTTTTAATTATAAGATATTATAAAATAACTATAGTTTATCAAAAAACATTGTAATGAACCGATCAGTCAACATGATGGTGCCAGTATGACATCTCACCCAGGGCACAAACAGCCCTGCGCTGTGTGCATTGGTTCTTTTTCAACATGGATGATGGTGTTGTGATGTTAGGTCTGGGCATGACGATGAGCTACCTGTTCAGAGAGCCTGCAACAATCAACTACCCATTTGAGAAGGGGCCGCTGTCGCCCCGCTTCAGAGGAGAGCACGCCCTGCGCAGGTGAGATTGAGCCCTCATTAAACACCCAGTGTCATGTGAGGCTGCATCCACTCAACTGTGTTTTCATTTTAAAATGCGTCACTGTAGCTACGTTTCCTCCTTCCGTCCACACAACTCTGAGTTTTTGAGATCCTAAAACTCTGCTGGACCCGGTTTAGTTTGAAAACTTTGGGGTTGTGTTTTATTTTGAAAACTCTGGGGTTGTGTTGTAGTCTGGACGGACAGAAACTGAGACATTTGGAAAAGATTACTTCACACCCATGGTCTCTCCTGATTGGCTCTCATCAGCCTGGAGTACCAGTGGTGAATACAACATGATAATGAATTACAGTCTTACTGACCTTGTTGTCTTTGCTGTTGACAGGTGATCTGTTGAATTCTGCATTTTAACACTCCAACTGTCTTTACTGTTCCTTGTTTGTAGTGTTTTCTGAAACTAATCAACTTTAGAGGAGAGAATCTACTGGGGTGTGATGTGTGTTCAGTCAAATTGATTAAAAACTAACCACCACTGAAATGATAATGTGAATAACTGTTCACATAAGGATTATTTGATTTTCAAAGTGGAACAGATCTTCATGAACACATTTAATTTCTGGCATGGTTACACAACATATCAGATTAACAGCTGTTTTTCGATCATGACCCGACCAACGTGCTTCTTCCTTCTTATTCCACCAGAAGCAGAGAAAATGTCGCTCTTACGAGTTTCCATCTGTTCTGATGAATTTTAAGAGATACTTGTGAAAAATCACATGGAAGTAAAAATACTGACTGAATTTTGTATTTGCCTTAAAGGTGCTTTCAGACAGTAAGCCTTTTGTTTCCATGGCAACCACAGAAACCACAGCTGATTTTACTCCACCTCTTCACTTGAGAACAAAAATGTATTATCTCGTCTGTGACAATAAACAGTCTCGATATTAATCAGCAAAACTTGACTTCATTGTGTCATTTTGCTAACTATTCCTTCAAATTTAGACTAGCGACTGTTTAGCTGCAGGCTGTATATCAGGTGGACAGCAGCAACCTGTGGGGTCAGAGGTCGTCAGGAGCCGTGGTGGCAGAGTAAAGCCCTACAATATCAGCAGCAGTAACTTCCTGTCTGAAAACACCTTATATTACATTTAGAGTAAATTGTGATTGTGAGCAGCTTATGACACAGGTAGTAACAAAGTCTTTGTGATTATGTCACACCAGGTATCCCTCAGGAGAGGAGCGCTGTATTGCCTGCAAGTTGTGTGAAGCTATCTGCCCTGCCCAGGTACACACACACAAACACACACACACACATGCACACATTCACACACACACACAGCCAGACTTAAACACACAGTCCTCTAGGAGTCCCTCCATCAAAACAATAACAAATGACAGCATTGAGTAACGTCATGGAATAGTGTGGGATCATGGGAGTTCATGTGTCTTCACCACAGACAGAGAGATGGTTCAGGCCTCAGCAGATAGATAGATAGATAGATAGATAGATAGAAAGATAGATAGAAAGATGGATTTATAGATTGATTGATTGATTGATTGATTGATTGATTGATTATGTATCCCTAGGGGAACCTCATGTATCCAGTAGCTCATTGGTATTGATAATAATAATAATAAATACACAATAATAACAACAATTACATTAGTCTACTAACTAACTATAAGCTTTATCAAAGAGGACAGTTTGAAGCCTGATGTTTTGTGATTAAACCTCTTTCAGACATTAAAGGTTTGCACATATAAGATATAAGGTAACAAAGAAAAATGATAAATAAAATAAAAAAATAAAATCTTCAGTGAGTGATACAGGCCATTACACATCTATATTACACTTCATGTTTGTCCATCGAGTATAGACAGTTAGATGACTTAAAAGGAGTAGAGATGGGATATGTGAATATCAGATGTCCTGACGTCTCTACCTATTGCACTCAAATATGGGCCCCATATTTTCCTAAATACATCTGGACTATTATTAACTCTGTGGATAAGAAGCCCCCCCGAGCCGGCTCGTCTCTCCATTCTTTAAGACTGATATGCTCTTTTCATTTCCAATGCCTTAACACTATTCTACTTCCTGTTATCAAGGCCCGTTTTCAGCCAGGAACACACCTTTGAGGACCAATTATCTTCAATTGGCAAAATAATCAATATGCTGGATTCACACTGAGATCTGTCTGTAGTATGTTAGTAATACTGTTAACTATTAGAAGTTACTAGAAGTTATGCACCATTTCACATCCATAAAGCATATGAGACAGTGTGCCCCAGTCTTTGTTGCATGTCCAACATGTATCATCCTTCCTGAGCCCCAACCTTGACATTTTTGATTGAGTCCAATAATTCCTAAAAAAGATGTTTGAAGCCAATCTTAAATGTAGCTGTATCTGTTCAAACCCTCAATAACTGTGTTTACTGTGACTGCTGTCCTGCTTCTTTCCCCTGTGACTGTGAACATGACATGTGTTTTAAAGTACACATTTTATATCAGTTGTGAATAAATATAAGAATTAATAATTAATCTAAACAGGAGGTAGCGAGCAGAGAAAAGCCTGTGCAGTACAGTACTGTCATCACCAACAATGTGTGTCTCCAGGCCATCTCCATTGAAGCTGAGACTCGAGCTGACGGCAGCAGGAGGACAACTCGCTACGACATCGACATGACCAAATGCATCTACTGTGGCTTCTGTCAGGAGGCGTGTCCTGTGGACGCCATCGTAGAGGTATGTGTAAGATCCTGAGCCTCTCGTCAGCACTTTCAGATGTACAGTAAATTCACTCAATTCACAGATGAAAGACCAGTCAGGTGTTGTTCCATCACATGTTTCCAGAACAGCTTCATATTCCCTCATGATGTTTGTGGAGGAGAGCGCTCTCGAACACTTCGCTCCATAGGTGTTCAACTTGACTGAGATAATGTGACTGTGAAGGTCACAGCATATGATTCACATCAGCCTCTGCCTCATCAGACCATCAGTGACCCCTGTGAACTATGGACAGAGACACTATTGTCCTGTTTCTCACGCATGTTTCAGATTCTTCCTTCAATTTGTCACTGTCTGTACAGAACTATTCAAGGCAGGAATAGAAATATTAAAAAGTAATGGTCTGCCTTATTTGTGTTAAAGATAATACAGCTCTTATTAAATATGAGCCATGTGTTCATTGTTAAATAGAGTATGAAAGTCAGTAGATAACTGACATTTGTGCTTTTTTTGGCTCAAAATGATTACACCACAAAAACGAGCAGTGAAAGTTTCTGCTGCAACATCTGAGAAGGAAACTACAGCTGTGTGTGAGGCCACTGAGCCTTGACACTCTCTTGTCTCTGAGCTCTGCAGCAGCTCCTTCCTCCTCATGGTTTCTGCTCTGATCTGCTTTGACACCTGATATAGACAGGTGTGTGTCTTTCCACATAATGTCCAATCATCTCAGAGATTATCAAGAGAAATGGAGGAACCTGAGCTAAATTTCAAGTGTCACAGCAAAGTGTATTTGTGTCACTGATATTTTAGTAAATAAGCAGCCGTTTTTTCCCACCCAGTGCCTGGAACTTGTGCAGTGCCAACATTTAGCTTCAGGAATAGAAGAGTGGAAAGAAAAGCAGAACCCATGCTAAAGCTAAAAGTAATTATACATATTAAATTACCACTTGTGAAGTTCCTGTGGTGGAAAAAGTAAACCAGCCTTCTAAGACTTGAAAACGTGAGTCGAAGCCAGAGGTGTTTGCCTAACATGATACAGACCTCTGTCCTGTTGAGCCAATATTTGCCTTTGATGATGATTCAGTGTTTCCATTAGAAAGATGACTTCTAACTGTGATGGTCTTCATCTTTACCTCTGTCCAGTCTTTCTTTGATCCCTCTCTTCCTTCTTCTCTCTATCGCTATCTCCTTTTTTTCTGCAGGGCCCTAACTTTGAGTTTTCCACTGAGACCCATGAAGAGCTGCTCTACAACAAGGAGAAGCTCCTCAACAACGGAGACAAGTGGGAAGCAGAGATAGCCGCCAACATACAAGCTGATTACCTTTACCGATAGTCACCCCACACACACACACACACACACACACACACACACACACACACACACACACACACACACACACACACACACACACACACAGTGTACAAGTTAGCACATACCAACATAACCTCTGTGACACATACGTCCAAACTGTACATACTGTAAGAAGACAGGCGCAGCTGTGATGGATGTGCTTCAGGGTTGGATTTCTTTTGTTTCAGACTTCAGCGTCATCCTCTTCTGATCCGATGATTTTACTTTGACATGTTTCTGATTTTTACCATGGTATTGTCTGGAAGACATATTTATTGTAGGAAAGTGAATACTACACTGGCTGTCTGTGTGCCAGCATGGAGCAGTGTGTGGTTATCCACTGAGGACCATGTGGTTGTGTCTGCGCAGTCCGACTTGACCAACGCACACAGTGTGAGTCATGCTGTGACAGTATTGGTGCTGATGACAGACTTCATCCTGGTTTGATCCTGATGTCCCATAGAAGTGCATGTGGATTATTGTTATTATCTTGGATGTCAGTCAGTTTTATGGTCTTGACGCTGTTTCCACCCCACCTCACTCAAATAATAAAGTTCTGGGAGAAACACTGAATGTGAAGGATTCTTCAATTCTGCCTGAGGTAAAGATTGAATAAGATAAATCACATATTAGCATAAAGGGTGGTGGAAGAGGCCCGCCCACATGTTTCCATTGAGGTACAGGACTTTATATTGCAGTGAAAAATGAGCCCACATTGAGTAAAAATGTGATAAGTGGTAAAAACGCAGAGAAACTGCTTGGGGTTCAGGGGGTTAAAGACAAAAGGTTGAAATGAGATAAGAAAAATAAGACAACCTCTGTATCATATTGTAATGAAAGGATGAGAAATAAACTCTAATAGTGCTACAAGCTCAAACAAACTGCAATTTACTCAGACATTTCTTCAGATTGTAGAAATTATGTAAAATATTGTTTGAGTCCTAAGAATTTCAAACAAACTCATTAAAGCAGCCTGTGCTTGAACTAGCTTGAACTAACTCATCAAAAACAACACACTAAATCAAACAAACAATGACAAAGGCACTGGATTAGATTACATGGAGGATACGCAAAGTATAAAATATGTAGGTATCTAAAAACTGTTCAGGCAAAATATCTGCGTATCATCCGGTCACTGAATCATCTCATTCACTCTGGAAACAAAACAAATCCAAATTTAGGTGCCACAAAGATGAAATGTCCTTGTATTTTTCTGTTGTACTGTATTTCGAGCCTGAACTGCAACATTCATGTAGAGAGGTTTTTACAGAATCTTGAAATAAAAATGATTTTGGATGTGTTTTGGAAGGATTTGAAAAAATGGGGGGAAAGAGATAGTAACCTTAACTGTCTGTTTTCCCAGTGATGACGAACTATCTTTAACTGAATCATACATAGAAATGTCTAGGTTTTACTGAATGAAACCCTGCAGATGAAATATTCTGTTGTGTTTTGTGATGGAAATCTGAAAATGAACAATTGACAAAATGATCAAGTTGTCTTTATATATTTTAATAAGAGCTTTGAAAAGGATCAGTGTACAGTCACAGAGTGCAATTGCAGACTGATATCGAACAAAGAATGTACATGCACTTATATAGAGAAAAGAACAAAGGCAGCAGTCAGGGTGTGTGTATGTACAATTCTGGGTGCCATCGAAACTGTCAAACTGTCAGGAGAAGCAGCTGCATCTTCAAGGACAAGCAACTACTAAGTTCGTACCAGACAGTAGCATATGTGTGAGGACAGCTTTGTGCTCTAGGTCATACAAAGCCAGACCTACAAGTGCAAAATATGATTTTTCTACAACAGTTTTTAATCATGGGAATTTAGACAGTTCTCCTGTGGGGCATTATCATTTGACTTTGTATGAAGTATTAAAAAATTACATAATATTTATATGTAGAAAAGTGATGAGAGCCATGGTGAAGAAAACAGAGAGGCGGCAGTAAAGCCTCTGACAGATAATAAAACGTTATGAAAAGCCACAGAACAGGCCGGGCTCTGTCTTCTATCAAGTCCTCAGACACAAGCTAAAACCAGGGAATCCCGGTCAAGCATTCATACATTATGTACATACAGTGGCGGGAAAAAGTATGTGAACCTTTTGGAATGTCATGGTTTTCTGAATAAATTTGTCATAAAATCTGATCTTCATCTAAGTCAAGGGTACTGACAAATATAATGTGTCTAAAATAATAAGAAAAAATCTGATCTTTCATGTCTTTATTGAACACACTCATTCAACATTCAAAATGGCAGTGGAAAAAGTAAGTGAACCCTTAGAATTAATAACTGGTTGACCCCCCCTTAGCAGCAATAACCTCAACCAGGCGCTTCCTGTAGCTCTGGATCAGAACTGCACATCGTTGAGGAGGAATTTTTGCCCATTCTTCCTGGCAGATCTGCTTAAGCTCTGCCATATTCTTTGGACGTCTCATGTGTATGGCTCTCTTCAAGTCAATCCATAGCATTTCTATTGGGTTGAGGTCTGGGCTCTGACTTGGCCACTCCAAAAGGCGGATTTTGTTTTTCTGGAACCATTCTGTTGTGGACTTGCTCCGGTGTTTTGGGTTGTTGTCCTGTTGCATCACCCACTTTCTAGAGAGTTTCAGCTGATGTACAGACATTCTCAGATTATCCTGAAGAATTCTCTGATAAACTTGGGAATTCATCTTCCCCTCCATGATTGCAAGCTGGCCAGGCCCTGATGCAGCAAAGCAGGCCCAAATCATGAGGTTTCCTCCACCATACTTTTCGGTTGGGATTATGTTTTCAAGACGATATGCCGTGCCCTTTCTACGCCAGATGTAGTGCTGGGTGTTTTTTCCAAATAGTTCAATCTTAGTTTCATCAGTCCACAAAATATTTTGCCAATACCGCTGTGGAATGTCAATGTGCTCTTTTGCAAATTCAGGCATGCAGCAATGTTCTTTTTAGTAAGCAGTGGCTTCCTTCATGGTGTCCTGCCGTAGATACCTTGCTTGTTCACTCTCATAACCACTCATATTCCTGAAATGTCTGCCTTTTGGTATTTGTCTTACAAAAGTGCACTCCAGGCAGCAACCCCCCCTTCCCCCTTTAGAACACCACAGAAAAAACATAAAAGAACATTCAAAACACACCACAAGTCCTGTAAACCATCACCGAACCAATCTTAATTCTAAGCATATACCACCTTACTAGTGTAGCCCTGCCTGAATAATTCGGCTCAAAACCAACGAGATACAACTGGTGAGACTTAGGAGGTCCCTTAGTGGTTTAAATTTGTTAGAATAGAACATATGGATGGGCCAGGATTGTATGTTATGTGGGTATTAAATTTCTATGAAGTAGAGCTCTAGAAAAAAAGACTAAGTTCAATATTTCAACAGTTATTCAGTGCAAACTAATTTATGGTAAACAATAACCTCATATAGATGTACAAAACCGGTTCTATTCAATCGTCATTTTCTGAACTACTTGCTTGTAGACGCTTGATTCTGGTATCCTTCCAATCCCTGAGTGTCTGTGAAGGAGGGTGTCCACCGCTGCTATGCTCCTTGTGAACAGCGGTGCCTCTCAATTCTCCTCAGACGGTCCAAACTGACGCTCCACATAGCGGCAAGCCTCCTCTGGGTTTGTGAAGAACATCTCTGATCGTTATGTGACACCCATAGTTTGGCTGGGTACAAAAGTCCAAATCTGACCCCAGGTCTGTCATGTAAAATCTTTGCAGACATTACTTTCCTGATAATGTCATCGAAAGTATGAGAGTAGTGGATCCTCACAATAAGGTGACGAAGGGGCTCATCGTTAATGGGGTTTCTCCGTAGGGCTCTGTGAGCTCTGTCGATCAGCGGCAGCTCGTCCAAGTTTAACACATCCTTCAGCAGCTGAGCCACAAAGTCCCTCGTTTTAAGTCCTGCTTCTTTCCCCTCTGCAACTCCCACTACCCTTAAGTTCTGTCTCTTGGAGCACCCCTCGGGGTCTAGACATTTTTTCGATAGAATTCCGATTTGTCCAGATAGTTTATTGACTTTGTCTTCTAGTTGCTGTATAGTATCAGATGCACCGTTAGCCGCCTCGACTAGCTCCTTCAGAGTTTCCTCATGTGAGTTTACTTGAACTTTCAGCGTAATAGCCATGTCGTTTTTGGCTCTCAGCGTTGCAATCTCCCCCCTCAGTGTCGCCGTGACTTTGGAAATCTCCACTTCAATCTTTTTGCAGATATCCGACTTGAAAAAGGGCCAGCTCCGAATGTAGCGACAATATTGCACCAAGCACTTCACTGATATCTGCCTTCTGAGCTGCCTCTCCGGCATGGCTGTCTGAGTCAGTGCCCGGGTTGTCATTTGGGCCTACTCCGTCGTCTTCATGCAGCTTCCATTTAAGTTTTTCCGGCATTTTCCCACCTGTTTACACTTTATTGGAGTTCGAAATGACTTTTTATCTTCTTCGGTGGCAGAAACTTTATGTTGGTTTTGTAAAAAATGAAGTTTAAAATGAAATTTGGCAGAGCTACAAGGGAGTGCGTCCTACTCGTTCATCGCTCGACAGCGCCCCCAGGTCCTACTAATTGGATGAGACCCACACACCCCCCTCCCACCATTCTCTGCCAGCTACTCTACTGTAAATGCAAATATGCACAAATAACAAACATTCAACATAGGTTCCAGGAAAAGATCAAGACGGGAGTCAATGGAAAACCAACATCTCATACCTGTTGTAATAGAGAACTGTAAAACCCTGAACAACCCCTTCTCAACCAACCAACCCATCCTTGAGGAAATCAAAAAACCCAAAGTTTTTCCCTCCCTGAACGCTCTCACTGTGGCCTGAAGGAGCATTCAATGGGGCGCAGCTCACCTGCAGACTAACACACAAACACAGCTCAAAGCCCCCATCTGAAACACCAATAAAACCGCTGGTCATCATAGGCATTCACACAAACACCACAGAGGCACAGATCAAAGAAGAACTGGTCAAAAACAATAAAACAAACCATCAACAATAAACATCTCCAGAATAAACAGAATCATAAGTAAAACCACCCAGCAACCAACTACATTCATCAGGATCCACCTCATCAACCGAGACCAAGCTGCCAACCTTCTCCATGAAGGCGACCTATTTCAACACAGAGTGGAGAAGGCACAGCCACCCCCACCATCAAACACTGCTAGAAATGCCAATAATTCAACTATATATCCATACATTGCCCCAACCCAGTCCTATGCCTGACATGTGGAGAAAATCACTCCAACATCTCTCGTACACAACTTCATCAAACATTAAGACACTGCCCGTCAGACCCCCAGCTGGAAAATCCACCATCACTAACCCCCCCAGCCTCCACCCAAACGATGACATCTACCTCACCCGTCTGTGTGATTACCTAAAAGAAAGAAAATAGAAGAAATACTCAAGAGCATAAGGAAACACACACATCAGTGTATAGTACAACGGCACAGCACTCAGACAGATTCAACGCAACACAAATCTGTTAATCATCGACACAAATGAGCCCACCTATATATCCCCTCCAATAGGCAGCACAGACATTCTGGATCTGATTCTACAGTGGCT